TTCTATTAATTTTCAAGAAGTTAGCCATCTGTTGGGAGGGATCCTATTGTGTATCCTTTTATGGGGCTGGACTAGATGACCTTTGGGGTCCCTTCCAAATCTAAGATTCTATGAAATGTACGTCAGGCACACATGCCACCAAAGGCATCCCAACAACGGGGGTGAGTTGTTGCAGACGCTTCTTGGCGAGCCATCCTTTCTTTCCGGCTGACTCCTGTGACTCAACCTCCCTTTCCAGGATTTCACTGCAAATCTGCAGAGTCATTAAAATCGTGGTCTTAAAGCCTCTTCCCGGCAAGTTCAAAAGGAGAGGGGGACCGAGGAGGGGGACTGTGATAAAGGGGGTCTTTATACGATGTTTACGAGCGGGTTGAATTACGCTCCCTTGGAAGAGAAGCCCAGACTCTTGGATTTGAGAAAGTCCCTGTGTTTCGCTCGGAAGAGCCGGATCCATATTTATATACACACCACATCTCATTACGCGACCAAATTAAAGACTACGCGAGGAGTTGCTTTTATGTTGCCGCGGCCATTAGCCTGAACATTGCAATTTTGCATAGTTTCCTGAGAAGCACAGAAACCCAGCTCGAAGGGCCTTGCCTTCCTAAAGCACTTATATACAGAGATTTATTTTTCAAAGCATACAGTGCGGTTACAAAACAAAGTCCCAACTGACAGTTTCTTTCCCTCGAGCTCCTATCTCTCCTACAATTCTAGGCTGCCTCAATAGGAAGCCAATGTCGTGATCTGCTGCTTTCTGGTGAAGGAATTACCTCACGGACAGAGTGGGAAGGCTTTATTTTTCAAAGCATACAGTGCGGTTACAAAACAAAGTCCCAACTGACAGTTTCTTTCCCTCGAGCTCCTATCTCTCCTACAATTCTAGGCTGCCTCAATAGGAAGCCAATGTCATGATCTGCTGCTTTTTAGCGAAGGAATTACTTCACGGACAGAGTGGGAAGGCTTTATTTTTCAAAGCATACAGTGCGGTTACAAAACAAAGTCCCAACTGACAGTTTCTTTCCCTCGAGCTCCTATCTCTCCTACAATTCTAGGCTGCTTCAATAGGAAGCCAATGTCGTGATCTGCTGCTTTCTGGTGAAGGAATTACCTCACGGACAGAGTGGGAAGGCTTTATTTTTCAAAGCATACAGTGCGGTTACAAAACAAAGTCCCAACTGACAGTTTCTTTCCCTCGAGCTCCTATCTCTCCTACAATTCTAGGCTGCTTCAATAGGAAGTCAATGTCATGATCTGCTGCTTTTTAGCGAAGGAATTACTTCACGGACGGAGTGGGAAGGCTTTATTTTTCAAAGCATACAGTGCGGTTACAAAACAAAGTCCCAACTGACAGTTTCTTTCCCTCGAGCTCCTATCTCTCCTACAATTCTAGGCTGCTTCAATAGGAAGCCAATGTCGTGATCTGCTGCTTTCTGGTGAAGGAATTACCTCACGGACAGAGTGGGAAGGCTTTATTTTTCAAAGCATACAGTGCGGTTACAAAACAAAGTCCCAACTGACAGTTTCTTTCCCTCGAGCTCCTATCTCTCCTACAATTCTAGGCTGCTTCAATAGGAAGTCAATGTCATGATCTGCTGCTTTTTAGCGAAGGAATTACTTCACGGACGGAGTGGGAAGGCTTTATTTTTCAAAGCATACAGTGCGGTTACAAAACAAAGTCCCAACTGACAGTTTCTTTCCCTCGAGCTCCTATCTCTCCTACAATTCTAGGCTGCTTCAATAGGAAGCCAATGTCGTGATCTGCTGCTTTCTGGTGAAGGAATTACCTCACGGACAGAGTGGGAAGGCTTTATTTTTCAAAGCATACAGTGCGGTTACAAAACAAAGTCCCAACTGACAGTTTCTTTCCCTCGAGCTCCTATCTCTCCTACAATTCTAGGCTGCCTCAATAGGAAGCCAATGTCGTGATCTGCTGCTTTCTGGTGAAGGAATTACCTCACGGACAGAGTGGGAAGGCTTTATTTTTCAAAGCATACAGTGCGGTTACAAAACAAAGTCCCAACTGACAGTTTCTTTCCCTCTAGCTCCTATCTCTCCTACAATTCTAGGCTGCCTCAATAGGAAGCCAATGTCGTGATCTGCTGCTTTCTGGCGAAGGAATTACTTCACGGACAGAGTGGGAAGGCTTTATTTTTCAAAGCATACAGTGCGGTTACAAAACAAAGTCCCAACTGACAGTTTCTTTCCCTCGAGCTCCTATCTCTCCTACAATTCTAGGCTGCTTCAATAGGAAGCCAATGTCGTGATCTGCTGCTTTCTGGTGAAGGAATTACCTCACGGACAGAGTGGGAAGGCTTTATTTTTCAAAGCATACAGTGCGGTTACAAAACAAAGTCCCAACTGACAGTTTCTTTCCTCCCCTCTAGCTCCTATCTCTCCTACAATTCTAGGCTGCCTCAATAGGAAGCCGATGTCATGATCTGCTGCTTTCTAGCAAAGGAATTACTTCACAGGCAGAGTGGGAAGGCTTTATTTTTCAAAGCATACAGTGCGGTTACAAAACAAAGTCCCAACTGACAGTTTCTTTCCCTCGAGCTCCTATCTCTCCTACAATTCTAGGCTGCCTCAATAGGAAGCCGATGTCATGATCTGCTGCTTTCTAGCAAAGGAATTACTTCACAGGCAGAGTGGGAAGGCTTTATTTTTCAAAGCATACAGTGCGGTTACAAAACAAAGTCCCAACTGACAGTTTCTTTCCCTCTAGCTCCTATCTCTCCTACAATTCTAGGCTGCCTCAATAGGAAGCCGATGTCATGATCTGCTGCTTTCTAGCAAAGGAATTACTTCACAGGCAGAGTGGGAAGGCTTTATTTTTCAAAGCATACAGTGCGGTTACAAAACAAAGTCCCAACTGACAGTTTCTTTCCCTCGAGCTCCTATCTCTCCTACAATTCTAGGCTGCCTCAATAGGAAGCCGATGTCATGATTTGCTGCTTTCTAGCAAAGGAATTACTTCACAGGCAGAGTGGGAAGGCTTTATTTTTCAAACCATACAGTGCGGTTACAAAACAAAGTCCCAACTGACAGTTTCTTTCCCTCAAGCTCCTATCTCTCCTACAATTCTAGGCGGTTTCAATAGGAACGTGGTCTAAGCTTGAGGAAAGTCATAGCACCACATCTTTTTTATCTTCTTAAACAACAACTATTACTATTACAAGTACTAGATATAGATGGTTAACACAGCCCAGACCAAGAAGCTCCAGGTTGCAAAGTTGGACACAACAATGCTGCCGTAATAGTCCAGAGGAATTTATGATAGAGGACTGTAGACCTGTCATAGACCTGTCAGCAGCTTATAATACTGTAAATCATTGCTTGTTCCTGAGAAAAATGTATAATACCACAAAGGACTACAACCTCACCCACTTCATAGGAAATCTGCTACAAAACAGGAGCTTTTTTGTTGAGTTCTACGGCCAGAGAAGCAGATGGTGGAAACAGAAGAACGGCCTGCCTTAATGGAGCATGCTTGTTCCATCCATGTTTAACATTTACACAAATGATCAGCCACTGCCACAAGGGACAGAAAGTTTCATCTATGCCGACGATCATGCCATCACCACTCAAGCAGGGAGCTTTGAAATGGTTGAACAGAAGCTCTCTGAAGCTTTAGGTGCTCTTATTCCTATTACAGGGAAAACCAACTGATTCTTAATCCATCTAAAACACATGCATGTACTTTTCATCTTCAGAACAGATGAGCATCTCGAGCTCTGAGAGTTTCCTGGGAAGGAATCCCACTGGAGCATAGCAGGACACCCAAATACCTGGGAGTTACGCTGGACTTACGAGAAGCACTGTTTGATTATCAAGGAAAAAGTGGGTGCTAGAAATAATATCATACAAATGCTGACTGGCACAACCTGGGGATCACAACCAGACACAGTGAAGACATTTGCACTTATACTTGGTTACTCTGCAGCTGAATACACATGCCCAGTGTGGAATATATCTCACCACGTTAAAACAATGGGTGTGTCTATCAATGAGACATGACACATTATCACAAGTTGTAGTGGTGGCGCAGTGGGTTAAACCCCTGTGCCGGCAGGACTGAAGACTGACAGGTTGCAGGTTTGAATCCGGGGAGAGGCAGATGAGCTCCCTTTATCAGCTCCAGCTCCTCATGCGGAGACATGAGAGAAGCCTCCTACAAGGATGATAAAAACATCAAAACATCCGGGCATCCCCTGGGCAACATCCTTGCAGACGGCCAATTCTCTCACACCAGAAACGACTTGCAGTTTCTCAAGTCGCTCCTGACACAACAAAAAAAAATCAGAAGTAGTGTACGTCCTGCACCACTGGACAAACTATACTATTTAGCCGGCATTGCGCCACTTGACATCCGCCGAAAAGTAGCAACCTATAATGAAAGGACCAAGGCAGTGACATCTCCGGCCCAACCTCTGTTCGGATATCAGCCAGCATGCCAACGGCTTACATGAAGAAATTGCTTTTTAAGATCTACACCTCAGCAAGCAAGAATCCAAAAGTGGTAGGCTAAAACCTGAAATCTCAATCAGTGGCTGAGACCGGATGAGAAGCTCCCTCTTGGACACACAGAAGACTGGACGACTTGGAAGATGCTGAACAGACTGAGATGCAGAGTCAACGTCAAGAAATAGGGCCACAAAGTAGAGTCCACGACATGCGAGTGTGGAGAAGAGCAAGCCATGGACTACTTACTACAATGCGGTCTGAGCCCTGCCACATGCACAATGGAGGACCTTCTCACAGCAACACCAGAGGCACTCCAAGTGGCCAGCTTCTGGTCAAAGGACATTTAGTATTCTGGCATGATAAATAAATAAATACTGGAGGACTTGAAAAAGACATGTAAGTCAAAGCGGCAAAAGTGGAGGGACAACCGTGATGCAAAGCCAACAAACCGACGTGTGTAAGCAAGAGATACAAGGCTGGGAAATGCCTGCATTTTGTCTCGTTCTTTTACACAAAGAGGAACGAAAGCCACTCACTTTTCCGAAATCCCGCACATCGAAAAGGTCGAAGGGGTCGAAGAGCTCGCTGTTGCGGAGGCCGAATTTGTCGTGGCACACTTTGAGGAACGTCCGGATGTTCTTCAAGCAGAGGAACTGGAAGGAGGAAAAGAAGGGGAAGTAAATTATGTGGAATTGGGTGGACTAAAAGGGCATTCGCTCTTCACCAACTATCTGCGGATGCTCAAATCCCATAACACACAATATATTTTTGGAATATAATTGTTCACAAGCAAAGACACACAGCAGTGCTGCAATCTATATAGATAAAAATGTAATGTCCGTTTGTGGGATTGACATAACTCAAAAACCACTGCGCGAATTGACACCAAATTTGGACACAATACACCTGTCAGGCCAATGTATGTCCTTCACTCAAAAAAAATGATTTTGTCATTTGGGAGTTGTAGTTGCTGGGATTTATAGTTCACCTACAATCAAAGAGCATTCTGAACTCCACCAATGATGGAATTGGGACAAACTTGTTTGTGGGATTAACATAACTCAAAAACTACTGGACGAAGTCACGCCAAATTTGGTCAAAAGACACCTACTAACCCAAGAAGTGACCATCACTCAAAAAAATAATTTTGTCATTTGTGAGTTGTAGTTGCTGGGATTTATAGTTCACCTACAATCAAAGAGCATTCTGAACTCCACCAATGATGGAATTGGGCCAAACTTAGCACACAGGGCTCCCATGACCAACAGAAAACACTAGAAGGGTTTGGTGGGCATTGACCTTGAGTTTTGGAGTTGTACTTCACCTACATCCAAAGGACACTGTGGACTCAATGGTGAATCTAAACCAAACTTGGTACGAATATTCCATATGCCCAAATATGAACACAGAGTGAGTTTGGGGAAAATAGACCTTGACCTTTGGGGGTTGTAGTTACTGGGATTTATAGTTCACCTACAATCAAAGAGCATTCTGAACTCCACCAATGATGGAATTGAACCAAACGTGGCACACAGGACTCCCATGACCAAAAGAAAACACTAGAAGGGTTTGGTGGGCATTGACCTTGACTTTTGGAGTTATAGTTCACCTACATCTAGAGAGCACTGTGGACTCAAACAATGAAGGATCTGGACCAAACTTGGCATGAATACTCAATATGCTCAAATATAAACATAGGTGGAGTTTGGGGAAAATAGACCTTGACATTTGGGAGTTGTAGTTACTGGGATTTATAATTCACCTACAATCAAGGAGCATTCTGAACGACAGAATTGGGGCAAACTTCCCACACAGAACCCATGACCAACAGAAAATACTTAAGGCCATCCAGTCCAACTCCCTCTATCAGGGCAAGAAAATGTAATCAAAGTCCTCCTGACAAAGAGCCTTCTAGCGATAGATAGATAGATAGATAGATAGATAGATAGAATAGATAGATAGATAGATAGATTGGTAGTTGTAGCTGCTGGGATTTATAGTTCACCTACAATCAAATAGCATGATAGAATTGAACCAACTGGGGCATACAGGACTTCCATGACCAACAGAAAACACTAGAAGGGTTTGGTGGGCATTGACCTTGAGTTTTGGAGTTGTAGTTCACCTACATCCTGAGAGCACTGTGGACTCAAACAATGAAGGATCGGAACCAAACTTGGTACGAATATTCCATATGCTCAAATATAAACACAGATAGCGTTTGGGGGAAACAGACCTTGACCTTTGGGGGTTGTAGTTACTGGGATATATAGTTCACCTACAATCAAAGAGCATTCCGAACCCCACCAACAAATGACCGAATTGGGGCAAACTTCCCACGCAGAACCCCCATGACCAAGAGAAAATACTTAAGGCCATCCAGTCCAACTCTCTTCACCAGGGCAAGAAAATGTAATCAGAGCCCTCCTGACAAAGAGCCATCCAGCCATAGATACAGATAGATAGATAGATAGAGAGAGAGATATTATTCACACACAGAGAGATATAGTATCAAAGATTTGGAAGGGACCCCTAAAGAAAGAAAATTCTATGTTGCATGTTCCAGAGTAGGCAAACCACACAAATCCCCCCATCAACACTGACAAAGAAACAGCAAGAAATACTGTTTACCCACAAGCACAAAGAAATTACATATATTAGAAACCAACACTTTCTCATTACTTTATTTCCCAGACTGGGCCATAGCAACACATGGCAGGGGACGGCTAGTCACTCATAAAAACACTGAAAAATACAGCGGAAGGGACTTAAAAAGCCAAATAATAAAAAATACATTACAATGCATGTACTAAACCACATATATACACATATACACAAATATATACACACACACAAAACACATATACAGAGACTGGGCCACAGCAACGCAGGGGGTGGCTAGTATATCCTAATTCTTTGCAAAGCTTCCAGTATGAATATAGAGCAGGCATGGACAAACTTGGACTGTCCAGGTGTTTTGGACTTCAACTCCCACAATTCCTAACAGCCTCAGGCCCTTTCCTTTTCCCACAGTTCGCTTCTAATGTGATCTATATAAATAAAAATGTAATGTTCGTTCGTGGGATTAACAGAACTCAAAAACCACTGGAAGAATTGACACCAAATTTGGACACGAGACACCTAACAACTCAATGTATGTCCTTCACTAAAAAAAAAAAAATGATTTTGTCATTTGGAAGTTGTGATTGCTGAGATTTATAGTTCACCTAGAATCAAAAAACATTCTGAACCCCACCAACGATGGAATTGAACCAAATTTGGCACACAGTTCTCCCACGACCAACAGAAAATACTGGAAGGGTTTGGTGGGCAGTGTCCTTTGGTTTTGGAGTTGTAGTTCACCTACATCCAGAGAGCACTGCGGACTCAAACAATGATGGATCTGGACCAAACTCTACAAGAATACTCAATATGCCCAAATGTGAACACTGGTGGAGTTTGGGGAAAATAGAATCTTGACATTTGGGAGTTGTTGTTGCTGGGATTTATAGTTCAATCACAGAGCATTCTGAACCCCACCAATGATAGAATTGGGCCAAACTTCCCACACAGAACCGTCATGCCTTGAAACACTGAAAAATACAGCGGAAGAGACTTAAAAAGCCAAAAAAATAAAAAAATACATTACAACGCATGTACTAAACCACATATATACACATATATATACACACAAAACACATATACAGAGACTGGGCCAAAGCAACACATGGCAGGTGATGGCTAGTACATCCTAATTCTTTGCAACGCTAACAGGATAGATATAGAGCAGGCATGGACAAACTTGGACTGTCTAGGTGTTTTGGACTTCAACTCCCACAATTCCTAACAGCCTCAGGTCCATTCCTTTTCCCACAGTTCGCTTCTGATATGATAAATATATAAAATCTTCCCCAAAGGAGACTCAAAGGGAAAAGAAGGAAGGGAGGAGGAAAAGGGGAAGAATGGGAGATGAAAGGGCAAGGAGAAGGGAAGAAGTGAACAGAGAGAAGAAGGGAGGAGACAGGGTGAGAAGATGGAAGAAGACGGTAGGGAGGAGAAGGACAAAGGCAGTGATTTGGAGTAGACATGAGTTGTGTTATTATCGCACCACAGTTTTCCATGACCAGTTTGCCTTGAGAATTTTTCGACCTGAACAACAACTCCTCCATAACTTGGGCAACGACCTTTCTGGGCCGCTTTCTCCGCAGAGAGTGAACCCGTGCGCGATGGCTCTTTTCCGAGCACTTCTGTGAGTAACGATATTATCCTAAGCAATTTCGACAGAGCCAGCTAGTGGGGGACATCTGAGGTTCCTTCCGAGGAAAATGTGATAAGGCAGCAAATCCGAATGGAGAGGAAGGAACAGCGGGGGGCAAAGGCCTCGCCGAACGGGCCGGGATGTCCTCCGGCGCAAAAACTACAGGGGTCTTTTGGAAAAGGATGCCAATCGGATGGATGCGAAATTATTGCATGGCAACGTCATCCGCATCCCAGTGTGCTATGTTGGGATATCAATGCGTACATGATCCAAAGTGGATTGGGAGGAGGCAGAAGTGCTCGGAGAAGGCTCGGCAGATAAAGGTAATGACGGATGCAGGCAGGATCTCGCCATTGCGCTATTCCGACGGTGATGTATGGCACGTCGCTTATCTCGCCGCAGGCACGCGGAGAGAGAGCCAAAGAGAAATTTCACTGGTACGTCTGTTTGTCAGAGGTAAAAACAAAACAAAGATGATGGTGGAAAGAGAAAGGAAGAAGATGGAGCAGCTGGTGCTTGAATGTGGCCGGGAGGGGAAGAAGGAATGGGCTGGAAGAGGAAGGCATTGGGGTTGCCAGCGAGCAGATGAGATGTAGAGCTTGGATGAAACCCCAATTCCTGCTAGAGTTTCGTCCAGCCAAATGAATGGAAAGCTCATCCATTATAACTGCACAGAAACACAACTACAGTACTAGAGTGTAATGTTTCCTAATTTCTGTTGTTTCTAACTGGGCCACCATAAATGGTGGTCCAGAAGCATTCCCTGTTTTGGAATCCTTGGAGATATCTTTAAGACGGGAACCAAGTCCAGACATGAAACCCGTTGGCATGACATAGCTACAGATCAACTAGCATGTGTGCCTGGCGTTGCACAGGTATGCATTTCCTGAATATAGGATTCTGTGAAGAACGGAATCATCTTATGGACTTTCTCTAGGTCTTCCAAGGTTTCTCCATGGCCAACCATGACCAGAAGTTGACCACATAATACTGCTGCAGGTTCTAGAGCAGGCATGGGCAAACTTGGGCCCTCCAGATGTTTAGACTTCAACTCCCACAATCCCTAACTGTTAGGAATTGTGGGAGTTGAAGTCCAAAACACCTGGAGGGCCCAAGTTTGCCCATGGCTGTTCTTGAGATTCCTCAAAAGAAGATCTCTCAAGGAATGGAAAGGTCCTCCAAGCAAATCTACGTGAAATTGACTACAGGATCCAAAAAATACTGAAATGATGCAATTGCGCTATATAAATAATTTAAAAATAATATTATAAGAATGACATTATTATAAAGCATTATAAAATAATGTTATAAAATATAATAATAATAATAATAATAATAATAATAATAATAATAATAATAATAATATAAAGGGGTAGCACAGGGGAACAGGATTGC